TGCTGGAGAATCGGGTTTTATTTTTTTCCATCCCCAAGCATGGAACCATGGAACCACACATCTTTGTTTGGGCACTTAGAGTCCTTAGTTTCTTACTCCCGCATCTTATTTCTTTCTGTCTCTTTTACTTTCCTTACATCCCATCAGTTTCAGGTATTTCTTGCTTGTCTACATTTCCCCATGTCCTTGATTCTGATACTCTATGGATCAATACTATCAAAGAAGATCAGCATGAGAGAAATGCAACTCCCTTCTACAACACCTTGGGGATGGATATCTGTTGCAGAGGGCATACAGTAGACAACACAGCTGCACAGAGTAGAAGACAGAAAGGGAGAACCAGGTAGAAATGTACCAATTTAAACCTTTCAGTGACTTGGTTTGGGAAACATGCCATTCTGGCACCCATCAGCATCCCCCACACACGGCCCCATTCCAACCTGACTTCATGCGATACCTACATTTATACTTTTAGATATTGCATATAGTATTGCAAGCATTAAGTTTCTTAATTTGATTCATGCCACTGAGTATAGCCAGTTTGGTCTAATGGTTCAGGTGCTGGTCAAGAAAATAAGAGGCTGTAACATCTAGGTCTCCCTTAGTTATCCTCCCAAAGTTGAGATGTTTACCTTGACACAATTGTCATTAAAGTTTAGAAATATCTTCCAACTGCCCTCAAGGAAATTAATAATGAACTTACCCCTCACCATAACACTCAGGGAAATGTAATGTAGCAAGAGTGTTAATTTTACTTAATTATATGTAAAAGATTATGCAATGCAAATATATCATTTTATGGAAAAACTGAAAATTAGGATGTTCTTATGATACTTCATGTCTTATACGAATATGATAACTATTATTTAAAGGCTTTGACCAATTTGAATGATCATTACATATTTAAATAGTGGGGTGGTGTTGATTAAAAGGAATGCTCTTCAGATTTTCTTTAAATATTACGGATCTTGCATGTAGTATTCTGAATAAGCATTTGAAAGAAGGAATTAAATAACTTTCTTTGTTAGCCGTACATCCTGCTTCCCCAAGTCAGTTCATGCGAACACTAAAATGTATGCCTCATATATTAGACAGTAGTCCAGGAAATAATATAGAAAAACACCATTTGTTCTAGTTTGCAATCAAAGGGGAATGTGATCTTTTCAGGTCATTTGAGAGAACTGAGAAACATTATTCACAGTTGGATCTCACTCTTTCTTCTGAGCTTGTGTAGGTGTGCTTTTACTCAGGTGAAACCAATGAATATGCTGTCAGTGGAGAACGGCAACTTCAAAAAATCTAAATATCATAGAACCGTTAGAAAGGACTGAGGAGATCATTTGAACATTTCTTGGCAATTCAGTAAGGTTTTTATTAATGTATTCGTCCCATCTTTGTAGTTGTTTATGGTTATTCTCAGTGCCTATTGGTAAAGCAGCTGTTACCATGGTAAGAATGACTACTGTTCTAAAAGATAGTGTTCTATGTGAACATTAAGCAGCTTCTGTAGTTAAAAAGCCAAAATTGTTTCTTTTTTATGGATCCATCTTCATTGCCAGTGACTGCCTAAATAAGTGAATACAATGGCAACATTTTCAAAAAGGTTTTCCCATTATTTTTCCTAGAGACAAAATGATTAGCCCAAGATCACCTGGCTTAGCTTTGCACCTAAGGCACCTAACACTAGAACTCATAGTCTCCTATTAATCACTACAGCAAGCTATCTGTCCAAAATTATCTCACATAAGCCATAATATTGTTTTGTCTGCAGGCTAAATATTGTTTTAAACCTTAAGCAAAAGTTTAAAAAAAACGATTGAGCTGTTTTAGCTCATTTATGTAATCTGATCATTTTAATAGGGCTGGGAATTTTTTTAAAAAAGTTTTTCAGCCTGCTTTTAGAGATTATTAACTATTGCATTTTTGTTATTTTAATTTTCTTTTATCCCATTTATCACTTAAGAACTACCGGTATATTTTTGTCAAGCAACTAATAATCCTAAGAACCAGAACTGTAGGCTAGATTAGGAAGTGGGGAAAGATATCCCCAAATATATGATGCAAACCACTTCCAGTTTGCTGTCACTGAAATTATACAGACACGTGCAGGAAATCACCAAGAATTAGGAGGACATGAAATATTTTAAATAAAGTCAGAAACATTTATTAGAGATGAACCACTTCAAGTTCACAATTGGGGCAGGAAAAAAAGAAAATTAAGAATATTTTCTGAAGAAAAAATATTTAAAAATTCTTAATATTTACCAAGGACTTACAGGTATCTATATCCAACTTTCTCATAAAAACTTGCTTTTACATTGGCAACCCAGGACTGTTTTATTCCAGGTAAATTATTTGCCCCTTAAGTTTATTGTCATCTTGCCAGCTGCCTCTTTTTTAATTGCAAATGCCTTGAAATAAAGTAGGGACTGTCTGTAAATGAAAATATGTTTCTCTGAAGCCACAGATCCTTCTAAATTTAGACATTTGATTTATGCTATCAGAATAAGAGTTCATTTAAACCAGAGTTAGCAATCTATGACTTATAGGCCACAAATCTCCCCATCAGTACCATGTGGTTTTGATGTAGTATTGTGTAGAATGCAGAGGGTCAAACTCAGAAAAGGAGGCATATTTACAGAATGGGTAGGGTTACGATATTTGTTTGTTTATCCCACCTTTATTATTTTTACAAATAACTCAAAGCAGCAAATATACCCAACACTCTTTCCTCCTCCTTCTATTTTCCCCACAACAACCCTGTGAGATGAGTTGGGCTGAGTGATTGGCTCAAAGCCACCCAGCTAGCCTTCATGCCCAAGGTGAGACTCATAGCCTCCCAGTTTCTAGACCAGCACTTTTAATCACTACACCAAGCTGTTAATTCTTTTAGAACACAGTCCTCAGCCTTCCTTCCTACAAAAGAACCAGGTATTCTTTACAATCTCCCTGGAGCTATCCGGTGCAGGATTTCTTCAGCAAAGCATCCTTTCAGATTTTTTCCCCCCTAGTCCATTCCCTTTTCTCCTCCTTGCCCTTTTCCTACCTAGTACCCAAGCTACTCCAATAGTGAAATCTATTTATGTTGAGCTTCGGGGCTTTAAATTGTTCTTTTGCCACTTGAGCAGAATAAATGATGCTGGCCCTCTTTTCAGGATTGTTTGGCTCTTAGCCCACACTGAGGTCATCCATAAGAATAGCTCTTGGGATGCTCCAGCTGAATGGGATCCACACGCGCCTTGAACTTTTTCCTGAAGATCTGCAGCTTCCTCTTTGTTTGCTGTCACACATCTTAAGTCATGTGTGAAAGTGGGCAAGAATATTTGTTTAGCCACACACAATGTGTGCAGGCATATTTTAGCCCAATACTGTTGCAGAAAACCAGCCGGTGCGGTTAGTTTTCTGGACAACCCAGAGAACTGGAATTAGTCAATTGTGGTTTAAAGAAATATCATGGCTAGAGCACTGCAGACACACAGCCTGTCTGCAAGGAGGTGCTCAAACTTTTTTCATCCCAAACTCTCGCCCATGCTTGAAGTCAAACGATTAGCCACCATCATTGAGGCCGAAAAGAAGTAGGCGGCGCTACCTCCGTTTAGCTACCTGGCGACCCATGAGACACTTCAGGCCATCCCGTTCCCACGAGTGTTTGGGCTTAAGAGTTATTTTGCTTTACGAGTGACTGACGAAGCCGAACTCCGAGCGGCAGGCCGCCACGAGACTTCGCGCACTCCGATTACCGGCCGAATCCGCGCCCGCCCGCTTTGTGCCAACTCTTGGGATTAGCCTGGTTTTCACAGTAAACGGGCCGACTTCGCTCAAAGACCGCGCGTGAAGGGGTCTCGGCCTGAGTTGCAACAACGCATTTGCGCGAACGGGAGCTGAACCCCGGCGCGCCTCATAACGCGCGCAGCCTTTCTAACACCTCAGCCTGCCGGGCGCGAGGGATTAAACGAGTTTAATTCGTCAGCGCGCAGCCGGTTAGTTCTTCTTTCTCACCTCCCACAACAGACGCGCGCACACACACACGCAGGGGCAGAACAAACGGACGCTAAAGCGCGCAAACCTCTGTTGTGTGTACACACAACACACACACAACAGAGGTTTGCGCGCTTTAGCATCCATTTGTTCTGCCCCTGCGTGTGTGTGTGCGTGTGCGCGCGTGTGTGGGGGGGAGGGGGCTCCGCTTCCGCGGTGTCGGCAGCCCCGCAAAGCGCCTCTCCAGAGGCTGCCGCGCACAAAGGGAGGGAAAAACCCGCCGCCCTCGCGCGCTTTCCTGTACGCTTCCTAAAAAGGGGCGCGCGCTGCACGTCCCGCGACGGAACCGCATCTGAGCCTCCGGCGGGTGCAGGACCCCGGCTTCGCCGCCAGCCAGGTTGAATCCTCCCGCCGGGGGAACCGAGGGGGGGGGATCTGGAGGAGGCGTGGCCTTCCGTAGATGCCGACGGAGGCTGGATGGACGTTCTTGGTGTTTGGGGAGCGGGGCGGGATTAGCGGCGCCCAGACTCCTCTGGAGTTCTGCGGGAACACGCTTCCGTTGTCCAGCGGGGGGGTTCGCGATTCCTCTTGCGGTGTGCCTGCGCCGATCTGAGTCCTGCGTTAAGGCACGAAGATTACACGCCGCTGCTTTACCTTCCCTGGAAAGATGCGGGCGTTTAGCTTTTTTTCCGAAGCGGTGGACCAAATGGAAGGTTTTTCTGTCTAAACGTTGGGGGGGGGGAGAGAAACCTTCGCCAAGGGGGAGGAAGAGGGAAAGGCGATTGGAAAGCGCATCCTCTGCCCTTTTTTCTTTTTTCTTTGGCAAGTTCCCCGCTTGGTCTGCCTTTGTAGGTTGCTGCACCAGCCCTATTCACTTTTGTCGGAGCACACACCTCAGGAGGCCTCGTTGAACCGCGCTGGGGACGGAGATCTTCGGCTCCCGCAGTCCTAAGCCTCTCAAGCAGGCGAAGTTTGGTGTTCCCCCCCCCCCAATTTGAAAAGGAAAGCTTCGCGAGAGAGACATGCAAGTCTCCATAGCGTGCACGGAGCATAACCTCAAGAACCGGAATGGGGAAGACAGACTGATCAGCAAACAGACCACCACCGCTCCAAATGCGGTCAATGCAGCCAGAGCGAAATTCCGGACAGTGGCCATTATCGCTCGCAGTTTGGGAACCTTCACCCCTCAGCATCACATATCTTTAAAAGAATCCACTGCAAAGCAGACGGGCATGAAATACAGGTATGGCAGACCTTTCGAGTCATGTCTCAGGGTGTTTCTTTCCCTCTCGCCATCCCATGCACCTCCAAGATTGTTATCGAACATACAAAGTTATCGACATACAGAGTTCTTTCCCCCCCCCCCCCAAACAAGAAACAAACCCTAGGATCCTTTTATTTAGAAATGAAGTCCCTCCCCAAAAGTTTGACTCCTTTAGAAATCTTGTGCTTTGGGTTCCAAATTTGTGGTAATAATTGGTTTTGACACTGGCTGCCTCCCATAACTGGGATTTTGGTCTTTGCAAGCCTCGGATAAGTTTTGGTGATTTTTGTAATTTTCACTGAGTAAGTCTTTTGATGGCTTTCCATTTGTATTTAGGGAATTTGGATTACTGAATCACACTTGAGGATCTGCTCAGGAGAAAGTTTGCCTCTCAAAGCATCTGCTGGGTTGTTCAGAAAAGCAATATCTGTTAAACTCAGTTGGGTGCCCTTTTTGTGTATTTATTTATTTATTTATTTATACGCCACTCATTTCCCCTTTTTCATTTCCCTTTTGTATTCTGCTCGTAATTAACTTCTCTACAACAGAGAAGGATTTGTTTTGAGTAAAATGTTGAAGGAAATTGTATAGTACAGTAAAGTAATAAGTGTTTGCCTGCAGAAGTGTTATTTTTCTCAAAAGAAGTCAAAGAGAAGGCAGTGAAGCTGGTTGCTGAGTGAATTCTGAGATTCACTGTATTTTATACTGATTTTAAAGCAGGATGTTTTTTTTACTTGATAAAATGTACTTAATGGTGTAGTCAGAATGACTCCTTTGAGAAGTCATTTATTTGGCACTTGAGTGGCTAGTCCTATGGCTATACAAGAGGACAAAGCACTATTCCCACACCTATCATAAGCAGAGTTGTTGCTTAGTCATCAGATCACCTGCTGAATTTACTGCAGTAACATTGTGAATGGTATTGAAGGTAAGCTCTAGGTGCGAGTTTTAATTCCACTGAGTAGAGAAAGTCAGGGTTTGTTAGGCAGGTTTGTTCAGAAGTAGATTCTCTGTACTGTGAGCCCTACAAACAGGAGAATATGCAAAGTATTGCAGCTCTAGGTTTAGTTAGCTGATGAATATAGTGAAAGCTTTCTTCTTATTTATTTATTTATTTATTTAACATGAATTTATATGCCGCCCTTCTCCCTATAGGACTCAGGGCGGCTTATAATTTAATGCAGGGGCGGCTTATAATTTAATGCATGCATTTCCAATGAAAAGCACAATTTACAGTGGAAGAAATTAAGGCGCTGGATTAGAGCAGGAAAGACCCAGGTTCAAGTCCCCCCCCCCAGCTGTGGAAGGTCACTCAGCAGACTTTCAGGCAGTCACACTCTTTCATTCCATCCTACATGATCAGGCTGTTATGGGGGAAATTAGAGGGTATGACATGGATCTCATCTTAGGGATTTCTCTTGGGAAAAAGCAGGAAGTAAATCTAAGACATAAGTTAAACCAAGTCATCAAGAGAATCAAAAGATCTGATGAATCTGTTATCGTTTTTAGATGGGATGTAATTCTGCCGGCACTATATATATAAAGAGTCTTTCATCTTTTCCAGATCACTTCAGTTAGGTTTGGCTACATATTTTATATAGCTAGTAGAGCTAGGATGTTATATAGGATAGAAGGCAGCAAAAAGATACCCCGTCCGTCTCCAATTTGTTTCTTTGTATATATCTCTCCTGTATTATTTTTATAAATAACTCAAGGTGGTGAGCATATTCAATATATTTGTCTCCTCCTATTTTCCCCACAACCATAACCCTGTGAGGTGGGTTGGGCTGAAAGAGTGACAGGTTCAAGATCATGCAGCTGACTTTCAGGGGTAAGGTGGGACTAGAATTTAGGGTCTCCTGGTTTCTAGACTGGTGCCTTAAACCGCTAGATCAAACTGGCTGATCAATAGACCATCTGTGAGAAGAGAGGTCTTTTGTTTCTCTCTAACCCCAAATATTCTCAGATGTAAAGTTCATGCAGTCTATCATGCAGAAAGTTTGAGATACATTCCTTGCCATCTCCATGTAGAGCTTGAAAAACATCAAGTTAAAATCCTGGAAAAGAACTGAAAGTCAGTTTTGATAGCGTTGAAATAAGTGAGTCAGTGGTCTGATTCATTAGGCAACTTCTTGTTAGAGCTTAACTTTCACAAGTCTATAGGTAGTGATATTCCCACTCTTAAACAAAAAATGTAATACTTCAAAATGAATGGTACAAAGAACAAGGAGGTGGGTCCAGGTCAAGGATGTAAATGGCGGCTATCATCAGATGAATTGTAGAACTCTAACTTTCTTCTCATTTAGGATACATTCCATTTTCCAAAGCTACCTTATAGCTATTTGCAGAGTGTTCTGAAAACCATCTATCATCTTCTTATAAATTGTACTATAATATGTTTTTTCAAGTTTTGGAAACATGGTAAAAAGTTTTTTTAAAAATCTCCAGTGAGTTATGGCTGATTATGTGATATTACATAATAATATCTTCCTTTCATACTTTGAATATCCTGGCGTTAACTAGGAAACATTTCTAGTTCTTATTAATTTTTAACCTTCATCTTTGAAATTTGTTTGTTTATACTCTAAATAACAAGAATCACCATTTTATAAACCTCATTGTTCAGAATTCTTTAGCTGGCCCTAGAAATGTATGAAGGATGTCTATGCATCACTCACAAGCTGCTCCTCCTTTGAAGCTAAAAATAACTAAAACTAAAGACATAAAATAAATAAGAATACCCTTTGGTCAAATGAATGCTATGAGACATAGAAGGACAAAGTCACCTGAATTATGCTGTGTTTGCAAGAACACAAGAGTTTTGCTAGGTCAAAACACATTCTTATCTAGTTCAACATTTAGTATCACATAGTGACCAATCAGGAATCTGGAAACTTCAATCACAATCCAAAGGGAATCCTCTTCTGTGTTGATGTCCATTAGGTGTAGTTATTCAAGATACTATATAACTATATCCAATTAACTAGCCCCATTTTAAAACCATATAAATTGGTGGCCATTATATTCAATGGCAGTGAATGTCAGAGCTTATTCATTGAATAAAGAAGTATCTCCTCAGACTTTGCTACGATTAGGTTCAGTTTGTGATTCTAAGTTCTAACATCCATATTTAGGAAACACCCATGTATAGTCCATATACATATCAGGAAAATATATTAGATACATTCTTACCCATGTTGGATCTTTCTTCAGTTTAAATTTTATAGATCAACTATCAACTTTGGTTGGACTTCAGCTTTCCATCTTGGAATGTTAATGAACACATCTGGAGGGAACCAGATTGAACAAAGTTTCAAGTATTCATGAAATCAGTATGGGATGTAGATGACTGCTTGGAAAGTCAAGACAAAAAGCATTATGCTAAGATTGTTAACCAGACTTCGTTGTATACACCATACTTATTATCTTATCTGCCCTGAGTCATCCACGTCACAGTTGTCCCAAAGATGCTTTTTCACAAGGCAATTGGACTTCCTTGTTTTTCTTTGAAGATGTTTTGCTTCTCAACCAAGAAGCTTCTTCAGCTCATCTGGCCTTGCTTTGTTTCTAGAATTAAGTGAAATGAAAGTTTGTGATCACTATGTGATCTTTATCTAGTTGCTTATTCTTGACTTTCCAGCATATCGAAGAGTTTTGAGACCAAAAGTCTTTATGAAGAGCTTGAGATAGAAATTAATTTTTCATTTAGCAATTGCTCAACAATCAAATTGGAGTCTGGCATTTGGTATCCTAAGAATCTCGATTTGATAGTTAAAAAAGAAGTCTCTAAATCTTCTGATGAAGAATGGCTCAAAAATATATTATTGGAAAACGATCAAGATCTACGTAGGTAGGACTTGGAGAATACATGAACTTCCAGGTGGAAAAGACCTAATCATATATCTTACAGAATCATGGTAAACATTTACCTTTTGATAAGTAAAATTATTAGATAACCTGTTTTGAGGCTGAAAGCTGTCTTATGATACCAAAGGTCCCTGTTTTTTTAAAGTTGCATTATTGTCATTAGAATGTTATGATAAAGGTTATCTTTTGATTCTTGCTTAGGAAAAAAACCTAAATATATATAAGACTTTTTAGATAACACTTTTCAGCAGAATATGGATTTTTTGCCTCATTATTTCACTATTTCATTATTTTACACTATTTTGCCTCTACATCTGGTAGACATTTTTCGAACTGCTACACAGCTGAAAGGAACAGCCCTGTCAATGGTTTTATATAAAGACCACGGACGAGATAACTATTGTATAATACAAAGGTTGAGCAAATGGGAGATGCAGTGAGGAACAAGAAGATCGTGAATCGCAGAGTTTTGCACCAGATCACAGATAAGCAAGAAAAAAAATATTACTTTTAGTTTTAATGCAGTTCACACTCCAATGAATTCAAAGCACTACTAGATTTAGAAGAGAAGATTTTTTTTTCTATTTAAGATTATCTGTTATAACTTTTATTCCTCATAAGCTGATTTCTAGGTGCATTTTATCTTTATATGACATAGAAGTCTGAGTTGGAAAGCAATTTAATGTACTGTATCTGAGACAGAAGGAAAAGATTAGGTTCACATATTGCTTTTAAAAATATCAATATCTTACTGCATGCCGAGAGCCAGTTTTATCTAGTGCAGGGGTCCTCAACCTTGGCAACTTTAAGACTTGTGGACTTCAATTCCCAGAATTCCTGGGAATTGAAGTCCACAAGTCTTAAAGTTGCTAAGGTTGAGCACCCCTGATCTAGTGGTTAAGGCTCCAGGCTACAAAACTAGAGACTGTGAATTCTAGTCCTGCCTTAGACATGAAAGCCAGCTGGGTGACTTTGGGCCAGTCACTCTGTCTCAGCTGACAACATCAGGCTTAAATGACAACTGGTCAGTCAACTGATCCTGTCTCAACCAAGGGATCAACAATCAGTGGATCTGAAAAAAGCAGACCCTGCACCTGTGGTAAAAATGCTTG